GTGAATTGATAGCAGATAGCTAGACGCATGCAACAAATGGCCAAACAATAAAGAAATTAGAGTACATGTTAAATTTGTTGGTTAACCAAAATGCAAATGGACAACGACAACCATATATATGATTACTTATTCAATCTTAACAATCTATTGTATAAACAACTGAATGATCAACAACTTATATATGTGGTGGTTTGATCCATATCTTGATGTGTTATAATTCCACATCATCAACATGAAAAGATAGCTTTCGCTAGCCCTTCGTACTGGGAACTAGGTTAATTGGATGAAATTCATAATCAATATAGTCAACTAGTTAACCGAATCATGCAAAGGCTTTATGTCTTAAGCAAGCTCAGCAGTTTGGTTTGTGGAGCTTTACACAAAAATGTGGTGTTACTTGTAGTCAGGGAACTCATGACTAGACATAATACCTAGCAAAATAAATGCATGTTTTTATATAAGCAAGCTAGCTCAACTAAGAATCATGCTTCTGCTTTTGAATGCTTCAGTCGACAACAGAACACAAGGAGAAAATTGCATATCTGCTATCACATAAGACTGGATTCACTAGAGTACCATCGCTTAAATGGGATTCGCTAGGATACCACTCTCCAGGACGTCTTCGCCAAAATACCATCCTAAACAGAAATACCCCTAACTCTTCTTGTTCCTTTCTCCAATGCCTGAAGAGCTCACCGGCACCAACCGTTAGCTCCACCGCCGCATCACCGATGCCACCTCACTAGCCACAATGGGGATGCTACCCTCCCTACTGTTCTGGCTTCCCATTCCGCCTGTCATGCTGGGGCTTGAGGAGGCTGCGGCGTTGCGGAAGTTGAAGGAGATCGGTGGTGCAGGAGATGGAGAAGGATGTCGGTGCTGGCTCCTCGTCATGCCCGCTAGTGCCGTGCCCTGTCACCACCGCCATTCCATGTTTTGAAGGAGGTCGCGCGTCGTTTGTGTATTTGGTGACAAATTTCCGCGAGAATAGTGGTTGGTATACAACTGGCCGACATTGACGACGAATGAGCCATGGAGTGTGTCGACAGGGATGAACTCACCAGCGATAGGGGTGGCGCATCAAGGCGTCAACGTCAACAGGAACGGTGGTGTCATAGAGGCCGAATGCCTTGTAGAGTGGGCAGGATGGGAGGCACGGACGATAGTGAGGGCAGCACCCCCATAGTCGCTAGTAGGGGTGAAAACGGTACGGAAACTTTTCAGATTCCGGACCTATTTTTGAAAACAGAATCTGTCGATCGGAATTTTTTCGGAATTTTTCGGAAACGGAAATGAATTCGGAAATATTCTCGGAAACGGAATCGAAAATGATAAGGGCAGTTTCCATCGGAACTTGGAATCGGTCGAAAACTTTTCTAGAAATTTTCTCGGAATTTACGGAAATTTTTTGACTGAAATACCCTGGATTCTTTTTTTAAGTACTGAATAGTGAATACCGTGGTGTTTGGCTTTTATTTTTTTAAAAAAAAATATTTGTTATGTAAATTTGAAGTTACATAAGAATATTTTTTTCAGCATTAGGATTTATCAACAGCATTACTCTCTTAAACGTAGATAATTTATTTCATAGATTGTGTTTTGTGATGTATTATTGAGACTTAAAAATTAGACTTATATGATTGTGTTTTATGATGAATTGTTGACCGTTGAGACTTGAGAATTGGATTTATCAGTTTGAGGGGTTTTGTATTCCGATAAATTTTCGCTACCGTATTCGCGCCGGTTCGTTTTCACTCCGTTTTCGGTTTCGATAATATTCTATTCTGGTTTCGTATCCGGGGTTTCCGATTCTGAAAAGAAATGAAAACGAAAATGATAAAGATAGTTTCCGTACCGTTTTCATCCCTAGTCGCTGGCGAGGCAGCACAGGTGGCGCGGGGTTGGCCGTTGGCAAGCCCTTTAGGCATTGGAGGGAGAAAGAAGAAGAGCTAGGGGCATTTTCATCCAGGATGGCATTTTGACGAAGAAGCCTAATTCAGGGTGGTATTCCAGCAAATCCAATATTATGCTATGGTAGATATACAATTTTCTCACACACAGGAGGTTAATACACGTGCAATTGCAAAATCTATCTAACAAGATAACCCAATAACAAATGTACATGTCACTATTATAATCAAGGGTTGCCTCCTCATGTTTGGTTGCCCTTGTGGATATGTTATTAATTGGCAGTCCCTAGTGTAAGGGCTGTGTGACCTCATTACAAAACAAAATGTTTATGGAATTATGATGTTTATTATTATTTATTAGTACAACCTAGAGTAGATGTGTGGATGTGTTTTCACTAAGAATCATTACTTCCTCATTACTATCTATATCTCAAAATATAGATATTTCTGACTTTGCATCTGAATTAGAATATAGATAACAATTTGTATTTCCTTCCATCTAAAAAAATGATACCTCATTTGAAACAAAGCTAGCTAAATTAAGTAGTACGTTTTAGAGTACAACCATCCGGCCTCAACTAATTAATCTTTCCATCTAAAAGAAAATGATACTTCCTTGAAACAAAGCTAGCCAAATAAAGGAGGAGATACAACCATCCTCAACTAATTATTAAATAACAAAGCCAGAGAACACTTAATTAATCGCTCGTGCAACACAACCATATGTGTACTATCCACAGACATATATAACCAGAGAACTTTGCTACATATTGGACAAGAAACCAACTTTAGATTGGATGAAAGCAACAAAAGAGCCATGCATTTTGGTTTAGGCATAATAAGTTAGTATTGCTTCTGCCACCTACCTAGGCCAAGCCATGGTGCATAGTACAATTTGTCATTTGGGCAAAATCTCATTTGCTGCCAATTTTAGTGAATTTCTTTTTTTAAATGAATTCGCATAAGGATGTGTCCATTTTATTGAATATAGAGAATTAAAGTACAACTCCTATGAGAAAAGAAACAGATGATGCGATAATTACAGAGTAACGAATGATTTGGATTAGACAAAGCCCAGTTGATCGTTATGTACTTAAATATATTCGTACGAACTATTGTATTATATATGCTCTATACCTAAACTTTATTAGAAGTTATAGATCATCCATTTTAATGCAGAGGGTCACTGTGCAAACAAACGTTTGTGTCTAGTGCCACAATGATGCAGACATGCAGTACTACTGTCGCTAGGAACAGCATAGTAGCTCCTCTGCATTTTCTTCTTCAATAATGTGGAGGATCCTGATTTATGTAACCTAACCCTTTTTTAAAAACAAATCTAGCTTCTTTTCAAGTAGTGCAAAACAAAATTCAATTTTAATAATAGCTTCTACATTCAAAATTGGGAGTACCTATATTTATGGTGCCATATTTTTCAACAAAAAGTTATCAAATCATTTTTACACCATAAATATGTAACTTTTAAAACCAACTCTGTAAGTTTCAATATTTACATTGTATTTTGTTTAATACAAACGTATAAGAGAATTAAGAAAAGTAATTTATTATCTACTTAAATGAGAAGATTGGAGAGATAAAATCATAATTACATATAGAAGAGAGAACAAGCACATAAAAAGAAGTAACTGAAATTAAGCGAAAAATGCAACTCCATAATTCTAGCAATCCCTTTCACAATTAGTATGAACGTCTAAAATCCAACAAAATACATTTTTTCTAGTACTATATGTTTTACTTCATTTCATAATCTCGAATTTAAATATTAGTAAATATACAATTGTGTACTTTATTATGGAGTCTTTTTTAGTTTTTCAGCAATTAATTGATTCTAAAATTATAGCTACTAGTAGTAAGTACAAAAGCTTATTAGAGTCTTAGATACAGCTTTTTCATAATTCATTATTAATAAGTAGAAAGTTGTACTTCGTCTTAGAGTCTCCATTTAGTTTTTTTAGCCCTTATTATTATAACTGTGAAATTTGCTATAATTAACAAACTGGATCTGATATATATGGAAAGCAGTTTTATTTGGAATTGCTATAATTCAGTCACTTGGCTAGATTTATTTATTTATTATTTATTTCAATTAACGTGGAAATGTCCTTAATGAGTCAGTAATCATTATAGGTAAAGGACTGATGGATTTGTTCTGCCAACCGGTGGTTGTCTGTTGGTAGAGCGCATGTGCTTATTAAATTGCACGGTATATTTCAATTGCTTTCAGATATGTCTGGACCATAGACTAGCTTGTCATTGCAAGTTTGGCTCAAAATCGTTTGATAGGCAGCTCTTATAATTCGTCTTTTAGTTCTTGTTTACCATTGGTCATTTGACCCTTGTCCCCTACCACCCTGCTAAGTGCACATCCATCTGCATTTTTAAGATACAGAATTGATATTAGCTTCACTTTTGCAAATGCTTAAGCTGCGTTCGAATCAGCTCTGCTCTTCGTGCGAGCTTATCAGTCTATAACTTGAAAATTAATTCATTTATTTATTTATTTGAAGAAACTAATATATATGCAGGCTTCATATCCAGATTCGTTGTATTAGAATACACCACATTCAACTAAAATCCCTTATATTTAGGGACGAAGGGAGTAGAAACTATATAGAAAACTTAGATAGAGAACTTATATAAAACACACTGTTTACAGCCCGGGAAGTGTTTAACTATTGTCGGAATATACAGTAGAAGTACGGAACAAGCAAAACCTTGTTTTTTTCCTCTGAAAAATAGAAAGAATTTCATATTTATCAGTTCGTGATGACATCATTGACGAAGTAGAAAACCAAATGCAACCATCTTTTAGCGTCAGCGTTATCTGCTCGACTGTCTGGCATCTATGAAAAGCTACGTACAAACCATTTCGACAATTTAACCAATATATGTATGGCTCAAAATGACGGAACCATACACGTTTAGGTATATATATTGTCATCCTTTCGTTGTCAGCACAAACCTTCGGGTGGAATCGTCTGCACACGAAACTCAAAATAGTGTAAATGATGTCACTAGACGTTTTCCCAGATGCACCAATGTTAAAATGATCATCCAAACATCCAAGAATCAGCAATGAGTCAAATCTGTCTTTTCAGAACAATTCTAGGAGCTTCTTTTGTTACCAAAGCTGTTTTCATCACCATACATTTGAGAGAAAAAGAATATCTTTTTTCATCTGCTAATATATCCCTGGTAGCTTTGCTACTGATACATCTTGTTACAAATGATGCATTGATATGATAGAAACATGCCACCCATCATAGCCTAGCAAAAGAGCAGCATGAGCATATGTGAAGCCTCCTAAAACTGGCAAGTCAGCTTTCAAAATTGAATCCAGAAGTTCATGTTAGCCAGAAGTTCTAATGTTAGTTGGGATGCATGGGGCTCCATCCTTCCTACAATAAACAGAGTCCGCAAGTATATCGTCTGAATAATGCCTGCCAACAAAGAAATTCAGCCTTAATTATTCAGCCTGCAAAGCATGAGGGAAAAGAGATTGGTAAGAAGGCTTCTTACAGCTAATGTTTGACACAACAGAAGCATAGAGCAACTTCTGCCTGGGCTTGTATATCTTCCAATGCTTTAACAATGCTTTCGCGGCTTTCTACTGTTTCTTCTTCTTGCTTAAGCATTTTCCGTAATCTGCATGAAGTACAGTTAGGAAAAGTTGGCACAACGATTTTAGAACGTGAACTGTATGGACAAACTAGGAGGAGGAATATAATTGTATGGCTCCAGGTAACTTTACCTTTGCACCAAAGGTGTATCACCATGACCACTACATATAATAAGCATTGCATTATCAGGTAAGATGCTGTATAATTTTCTAATTTTCTTGTCCAACCCAATCAGAATTTCCTTTAGTTCAGGACAAGTTTGATGCTTTTTTCTTTTCTGAGCAGTTTTTCTGTCGCAGGTCTGCAATGCAATAGCCTCTGCAACACACGATTTCACCTTATCGGGATCTTGGGCCCTTGTACGAAGATACGAGATCAATTTCGAGAATTGAGTCCAGACAAAACTAACTTTGTCATTTTTTACCTGCAGTAAGATTTCAAGAAGCATACTAATGAAAGCCTTCAAGCTCTCAGGGAAGAGACAAGGGCCACTTAAAATGTGTAGTACTAACCTCTTTCATTGATCTAGATAGTGCATCATCATCTGAGAAAACTGCTATTGAATTACAAGAAGCATCTGAATACCGCTCAAGAACGGAGGCGTCATCAATGAGGGAGCATTTTTTACCACTTTCATGCAGTATGGAAGCCAACTTTCGTCGTGAAGTTGATGGTGGGGAGCCAAAATCAGGACCTGGTGAACCAGTTATCCAAATTTACATTTTAACAGAAAAATAACTAAAAGATATTACTGAGATGACAGTTGAAGTCATTAAAAAGTGCATATTTACCATATTTGATTTTCAATAAAGCGAGTTCTAGAGCAGCTTTAGCATCCTCCACACTGTCATGCCCAGACCCAGTGTTCTGGATCTCCCGGTTAAGAAACTTTTTTGCCAGGACACGTAAAGCGATCTTAAAGCGATGGCCACGATTATGTTTGTACAAAACTGCAGTATCAATGATCAAATCGTGGGATATCCGCAATGCCATAAGATCATTTTCCAAAGAATGTCCAACAAGAACAGTTTCTTTGTGCACAAGTCCAACAAACTCCTCCTGAAAACAAATATACAATGGTATAAAGAGTTGGCACAGTATCAAGACCAATTAAGATTCAAGGCCACAAAAACACAACAATTACCTGAATCTCCTGGAGGGTTGTGGTAACATCAGCTAACATTTCAGCAGTGATTCCACTGAACCTGCACAATTCAAGAATAATTACATCTTCTGTTGGATATTCCGATTAATCATTTAGAGGTTAGAGCCCACTGGAGATATCATTTAGAATATCACAAGGGAAGAACATAAAGGGCCAAATTAGGACAATGAAATTCATATGATGCGTGAGCACTTCATTCATATCCATAATACAATACACATGATTCAAAGATAGGTATCAGATCCAATTTATCTTCCTAAAGGAATATCAAACATATGATTGAAAGAAAGGCACCAAACCCTATTATCTATGTAAAGGAAAGAATAAGCATAGATGTGTAACAGCCCTACATCAAAGGAGATTAGAGGCATCATGGCATGTACCTTGTATTGTAATCAGTGATTGGATTGGCAGGCTTAACTAGTTTATCTAGCACCACCTGAAATAGATTATAACAAAATCAATACTCAGCAGGGAGAATAGTGAGACAATAAAGGATTGAGCGCAAAGTAGGTACCTCTCCTTTAATATCAACTAATGTTACTCTTGTAAGTTCAAATCCAGCTGCAGTAACACACTGAAAAGGTCGCAAACTTTCAAAACATAGATCTTAAGGAAACTCAGACACAAATAATGTACAAGTGATGTCACAGTGCAAAACTGTTGGTAACATATAGTAGTTGAAAGTCAGTGTACTTGGTATTTTCAGAAAACACAAAAGGGGGCCTCATATTGTACAGAACATCACATTACCATCTCACAGTCAAGTGCAAGAATTGCATATGGCGAAGAGCCTGGAGGAGCTGAAACAGTAGGGACAAAACCTATGTGGCAATAATATATGAGTTCAGCTGAGAGCATGAAAGGGCAAGCGGGAGAGGAGAAAAACAAAAGGATAACCTTCTAAACTGAAGTTGTATCCATTGTCCTCCAAGTCTTTTTCAGAAAGCGTGTAATATTTAATAGGAAACGGTATATCCTTTAGATCGTCCAAACTTGATAACTTTTCTGGAATATGTAAAACAGTTAAAAAATTGCACATAATACAATATCTTAGGTATAAAAACATAAGTACCATTTTCTCATGGAAAAGATTGATTAAGTAAATCTAGAGACTGTAGGTGCACTTATAGGCCAGCATAAAAGCTGTATGGCAATACAGTGAGCTGGTGCTTCTGTTATGATCATTGCATCTCAATGCAGATGCTATGTAACAGTTAATTTTTACAGAAATAAGGCTGAGAAAGAACAACTAGGTAGTAGGTACAAGGAAAAAAATGATAAGAATGAAAAATAATGTCTGCTGTAAATTCAAGAATAAAAATCTCTTTGCAAATAAATGGCACAAGGCAGAATGGTGATAATTAACATGATCTCCCAAAAGTAGAAATGGTAATCATATGTCCTTTCAGTGATTCTATCATCATAATATAAACAACTTCATAGCAAGAACTCAAATAAGAAGAATAATTCAACATTTTTTCTTAAAAATAAAAGAAACATAACCCTCAGCAATCTTGTACCTTGGCCATCAGATTCATGAGATTGGTCCGTTGTTTTCAACGCACGCTTTCGCTTTACTCTGCATGTTAGGAGTGCATCGATGGTATGCCTTTCATCTGGTATACAGCTGCAAGAAAAGCTATCATTAGCAATACATGGTACAGTGTATTTATACGAAGGAGGCATTAAATTGCCCACACAAAATAATCCACAAGGTTCTGGGCAAAAACATCCATCTCCCCAGTTTAGTGCACCAACCTTGAAGCTAGAACAGGTTTTGGATTGCCACAAAATTCTTTCAAAGAAGAAAGGTGACGGGATTGCGACATATATAAAGCTGCATCAAGGCCAGGAACATATAGAAGGACGACTTTTGGTATAAGAGGCTTGTTCTGCGCAGAAAAGAATAACAAATTTAGTGATAAGGGGATCTTTCTTGAAGCATTAATTAAATAATCTAAAATTGGAACATAAGACAAACATGCGTCAAACAAAAATCAGTGCTCACTGTGAATCAACATCTCTCTAGATATGAAATACATAAAGTATTTTACAAGTTTTAAAATTCATGGTGGGTAGTCCAGGTTGTAGAGCAGACAGAGTTAATTGCCACACCCCATAAAATTAGAAACAAAGTACAGACCTTTCTTTCAGTTGCAGGAAAAAGCACTTGCTGTCAGGTATACTATGCATGTTCTAACATCAAACTGAGTGGTTAAGAACAACATATTCGGCAATACTCTAGCCTTTTAACTCTTTCATACATATAAATCATATTGGAATTTCTGGGCACTTTTTCATATTTTCTTTCTTTTTATCCTTGGCAACTAAATTCTCACACAAATGAATGAATCATATTTCCAATATGAATAAATAAAGGGCAAAAAAAGTTATTTAAACTATTTTCTTAATTGTTGTTCACAAGTCTAAAATGACTTATATTTAGAATCAGAGGAAGTATGCAGTAAGATATGGACCCCAAAAAAGACTAACAATTTTCATTGAGAAGGACAAAGATAAGGAAAAGTAAACCACGTGCTAAACATTGAAACTTAGGAGGAAATAGGGAAGAGAATATGTACTTTAACAAACACCCAAGAAGGCAGCATGCCATCACCAATGACCCAAGTTACTAGCCCCTGAACATCCTGCACTAAAAAGAACAAACAAAATGTCACATTACAAGGGAAGTTCTCAGACCTCAATTTCATAAGCTCAGTGATGAAAAGAACCTGCAAATTTAACGTAGAATTTGAAGTGGCCTCCTTAAAAACAACATCAGGTTTAGCCTGGACATGATGAAAGAATCGGTGGTATGAGAATTTTGGTTCATTAGAGCCAAGGAGGAAATATAGATCAGTAAATTCAGCAGAACAAATAGCCAACTATCTATCTAGATAAATTGGTTGCTGCTTCACTTAATAGTCCACCGATACTTTGGGAGTATTTTGATTTTGCACAAATGATGATATGAACAAGGACAGCAGCAGTATATTATTCTATTGATCTGGTCTGTCTTATCTTTAGCAGGGATATTCACATTAGGAATTTGGAGTGCAAAAATCAGGACGGGTCACTTGTTTAGTAGCGAATGCTTCCTCTGTTAAAATAAAATGAATCAAGGAATGAACTGCATGTATGCTTCCATGAGAGTGTGTTCTTCAAAACTAGGATCTTTGTATGTTACAGTAGTATATCCGCGCTTCACCCCTCTGAACAAAGTATCCAGCAAAAGCGCAGCGCTATCAGTAGTAACACTCAGATTTTGCCATTAACAATAAGAATCGCAGAGACCATCATTACACAAACAGGGATGCCCTCCGTTTTAATCCTAGCAAGAATTTAGCTTTACAAGAAAAAAAAATCTAATCATAATAACGCGTTAACAACATAGAAGAGCACAGTTGCTTCCCACTTCCGACGCCACGGAAATCACAAAATGCGATATGTTCCCACCAGCAAAAACCACCCGAAAATAATAAAACCGCAACATTTACCAACAAATAATCGATTGCCAATTCCTCCCCCCTGTTTTTATCACTCTTAAGACCCCGAAATCCCGAAATCAAAAGGGGAAACGATTAAAAGAAGAACAGAAAGATTGGGAGAGAGAACATACGTCGGGTCCGTAGACGTCGTAGTACGTGGAGGAGGCGGGGGCGGCTTCGCCGGAGCCGGAGGGCGCCGCCATGTGGGCGTCGGCGGCGCTTCTAGGGCTTTGCCGCGGAGGAGGGAGGATTATGCAGGGAAGACCTCGGATTTGTGGAGGCCTCACCCAACTTCGTGAAAGCGTTGTACTAGGAGAAATATTTGTATTACCGCGGTGATGAAAGGGGCTTTTATGTAAATAGACCATGTTAAGGGGAGTAGAGGCTGGACTTGGGCCGGGTCGGGCCGGGCTGGCACGGGCCCATCGTGCTCCTTCCCGAAGCGGGCCCGGCACGCGACGAGGCCCGAGCACTGCCCGACGGCGGCGACGAACTCGCCGTTCGTCGTCGAGACGACGGCCGCGGCCACCCGCCGTGGGTCGCACTCGAGACGGCGGCCGCTGCCGCCGACGAGTAGCAGAGAAGAGGAAGCCTCTGCCGCCGCCGGGGGAGATAGCGGATGGCGCCGGCGAGGCGACGAGATGTAGCAGCAGAGAACGGGGGCGTGGCGGTGGGAGGCGGCGGGGTTGGTCGCCGGCGGAGGGGAAGCGACGAGCGTGTGTGTGCTTCTGCTCTGCGGGATACGGGAAAGGAAATGCGGAGGGGGGGGGGGGGGAGACAGATGCAGAAGGCTGCAGGCCGCTGGGCCATTTACATGGTGGGCCAGCCCAAGCATCTGTATGGCCTGCTGAATCAGCCTTAGTTGGAATAAGTCCACTTCGACTTCCTTAAAAGTGACCCAAATCTAATTCATGACCCTAAACCGCAAAACCGGATATCTCGACCCCCGAAATATTGAAACCGGTACAATTTGACTCCCTTAGTGGTTTTGGAGGGCGGTTTCGCTGACGTGGCAATGATGTGGCATGGTTGACCTAGTCTGTAGGGTTGACGTAGCGCTTAGCTGGCATTTGAATTAAAAAGTATATGTGGGACCCGTTTGTCATTCACACAAATAAAAAATTGTGGGGTCCACTGACATGTGGGCCCCACCTGTCATCATCTCTCTCTTCTTTTTCCTCCCCTCTTCCTCCCTTCTCTCTCTCTCCTTCTCTCCCCTTCGGTCGGCCGCCGCCGCATGGGCTGGAGCGGCGGCGGGCGGGGGCTAGAGCGGCGGCGGCCAACAGGAGCTGAAGCGGTGGCGGCGGCGAGAGCTGGAGATTAGCGGCGATGTGGTTGGAGCTCTGCGTGTTGTGGTCGCCGGCGAACACTTGTGACTCGGATGTGGTGGTCGTGGATGTGTTTGGCCACGGGGACTTACTCTCTCGATGACAACGGCATTGGCTACCTAGGGCTGGGGCGCCTCCCAGCGCGGCGGTTGGTGGGCCACGAAGCTAGGGACGGTGGGGGTTGGGGTGCGAGGGCGTGGCCCGGTGAGGTGGCGCCGCTTCTGGGGATGCAAGCGAAGCCCAAGCGGTGTAGACCGAGGATGAGCTGCGGCGGCGACCTCTCCGGCAGGAAGGGGCGGTAGCGTCGGGCGTCTGGTGACAGGAGAAGCATTTTATGCCAGGATCATTCCCATCCTGCCTCCTCTCCCGGCGCCGGCAACACCAACCATCGCCATCGTTTCCGCCGCTGATCTCAGCTCCCGCCGCCGCTTCAGCTCCTGTTGGCCGCCGCCGCTCTGGCCCCTGCTCGCTGCCGCTCCAGCCTGTGTGGCGGTGCAAGGCCGAAGGGTAGAGAAGGGGAGAGAAGGGAGGAAGAGGGAAGGAAGAAGAAGAGAGAGAGGATGACAGGTGGGGCCCACATGTCAGTGGGTCCCACATTTGTGTGTGTGTGTGAATGACAAGTGGGTCCCACATATACTTTTTAATTCAAATGCCACCTAAACACCACGTCAACCCCACAGACTAGGTGTTAACAACCAAATTTGGTAACATCAACATCGGAAAGGAGGATTAGATCGAAGCGGAATCGGAGATAAGGATTATCACGAGAACAGAGTAAGAATCGGCTGGAGTCCGGATCGGCTACGATTGGATCAGCTGAATTCGAGTTAGACTTGGTTGGGTGGTACAGTCGATTCCGACAAGACAACTTGGTGTACGATATCGGGTTGAGTTGATATGCTTCAAGATAATTGCCACGCATGAATAGAGTCCTGAGAAGGCAATTATATCTATTAGTTAGGATATTTTATGTAACTTCCTTAGAGATATGTTTGGGCAAAAGTCTGCCGTAAAGACTTATGGTATCTTAGAGTTTGTTAGAGATAAGAGTCGTGTCCGATATGGACATGGTTTGTAATTTTTGGGTATAAATAGACCCCGAACCCCATGTAATCAATTAACACACACATTCAATACAATTTCGGCGCATCGCCACCCTTTTGTTTTAGTTTTATTTCGACGAGTTCTTACTTTCGGGTTGAGCTGCATCGGTTTCGATCTTCAACAAGAGGTAAAACTTGTTATGATGGCTTGCGTTCTCGGGATTAGTGCTTCCATCTTTATGATACTCTAATCTTATTTATGTAATTCATCGAGTTATCATATACCTTACATAATCTCTGGCAATATCGCTATTTAACCTGTTATCGGCTAACATCTGTCAGGAGAAAGCAGCCGATTAGGTTAAATATCGATGTTGACTTAGATTATATAAGATATTCACCACTCTATGAAACTTCCAGCGTCTTGATTGTCTAGATATTGTTCTTCTTTTCATACTTAATGCTGCATCAATTGAGTTTGATCTATTAAGTCGTGCTTAGAATATCAATCTCTAGCCTGCCTTCTAGTTGCCGATTAGGGTAGTATTGGGGTTTCAGCCGATCTTATCTGATTTAACTACATTTGCTCTATATGCTTCATGGATATGTTAAATCTGCCCTTTATGTTAAGATCTTGCCGCATTTAAGTATATCAGACCTTTTTGTCTGATATATTCTACTTGTTTTAATATCTTAGTATAGAGTGGTGTCGGAGTATTAGCCGGTACATGCTAGATCCATTTGATCGGCTATGCTATGAACATATATAATTCTATCATTAATTTATATTTCGATCTAAGTGATTTATATTGTCTCGGCATGGCGACCAATCTATCCCAATCGCTTGATTTAAGTATATATCGATATAAGGAATATATATTGTTAATATCTACAGCCGATCGAGTAGATCTAGTTCCTTCTTATTTATTATGACCGCCGATCGATACATATATGACATCGGCTCAAGGATAAATGATATGTCATCGGCACTTAGCCGATCGGCTATCATTTATAGGTTTAACCGCGGGTTCTTTGTCGCTATTTCTTGTTGATTGCAGGATAAATCAACTGGCACGCTAGCATACCCGAAGGCGAGTTTTGGACCTGCACTGGAGTTAAGCATATCTCCCAGGCCTCATGTTTTCCGTCAACACTAGGTCAATCATGCCACGTCAGCGCCACGTCAGCGAAACCGCCCTCTAAAACCATCAAGGGAGTCAAATTACACCGGTTTCAATAGTTCGGGGGTCGAGATATCCGGTTTTACGGTTTAGGGTCATAAATTAGATTCGGGTCACTTTTAAGAGAGTCAAGGTGGACTTATTCTGCCTTAGTTCCAGCACTTGAATTCAGTTTAGGCCCGTTAAACAGAGTCTAGATAGAATTGGGTCAGCTTATCGTACCCACTGTAATAATTATTGCTATAAAGCTTGCACCACATTGCGCCACGTCATCGATTATTGTCAGCCGTTGGATTCTTGAGCATGTCTCTAGATCAACGGTATCTGTCCTCACACTTACAACTGCTTGCTCTGGCCCTTTTAATTGACTTGGCCCGTTAAAAATCTCCTCATCGCATGAAAGCCAGGAAGCGGTGCCCTTCGACCTTCTCCACTAGCAATCCCCTAATTAACACGCATCATACCATGTGGAACCCCCTCCAACACCACTATACGAGCAGTCAGGTTGTTCCATCTTCCTTGAGCAAAGGTTAGCTGAATGACCCTCAAACAAAAAAAGAAAAAGAAAAGGCTAGCTGAATGACCCTCAAGCAAACAAAAACAAAAGAAAAGGTTAGCTGAATGGCACTGCATGCACATTCTTGGTCAGCTATGCTAATTGGAATGTGCTCTTTTTAACTAGAAATCAATCTTATCCTTTCTGCTCAAATGCCTATGGTACTGTTGCCTGCTTAAAATTTCTCAACTATATCCACACTTCCACAGCAACACGCGGGGTATCACCTAATATATATATATATATATATATATATATATATATATATCTCCCTCCAAACATATTTTCTCTGGATTAACTCTTTTACACGAAACAAAAATAAAGATATAAGTGAGGTGTTACATAATTATGGGCCCACTCAACGCGTAGAGCAGACTAATACAAATTTGGATGCTAGGGTGTTACATTTTTTTTAACAGATTGAGTATCGTTCAAATCTCTTATTTTTCACAACCGCGTTTACTCGCAAATATTGGCCGCTTTAAGTCTTTAATAATACATGATTTTATATAAACCTTGTTGAATACTTTCTATCCTAGTTGTGCAGTCACTTGCAAGGCAAACTATATATGCTAATGGTGTTTAAAATATAACACATCTATATAAACAGAGTGTGAAGAAAATGTCCACCCTACGCCGTAAAGTATTCACCCAAACACTTGAGTTAACCTGATTTTCTAGATACTCAATATCACCCCTAACCAATTTTAAAGGTGGTTTGGCGACGTGTCATTGATAGGCCACACTACTTGTTATTACTAGATGTTATTCTTTGTCGAAGGTGGTAACACTGATATCCCGATTTGTATTCTAGTATCTTACAATACTACAATCCTACCAAGCCGCGATACTAATCCCACGTAGTATCCTGATCTTACTATTCATTTACATACGATCCTATCTTAGATAGTATTTCGATTCTACGATTTTACAAAATATTATTTAAAATAAGGTGGATTGAAAATAATATGAATAAATATGTTTAAGTTTACATTAAAACCAATTAAATTTATCAAAACCAATTTATATGCTTTAATTTATACAACATATTATATTTTATATAAAAATATGTACTTTCTAAAATATAGTAGTATCCCAAAATATAGTAGTATCCCGATCCTATCATACTGCAAAACAGAAGATCCTCATATCTCGATACTGATTAACTTGGGTAACACCCTTAGCTTCCTCCTCCTGCACTCTTATGTATGCTGTCCCAAGTTACAAATAGGGATAAGTCCATTTACACCCTCTAACTTTTTATTTTGTATAAAATACACCAAAATCTCTAAAACAGGATATTTCACACCCTTCAACTTTCAATACCGTTCACTTTACACCCTCGAGTGGTTTTTCAGCTGGTTTTTATCTACGTGGCATTGATGTGGAAGTCCAGTTAGCAAATAAAAATAAAAATTAGGACCATATGTCAGTCTATAACCACGGAGCCACCTCTTCTTCTTCCCTCATCTCCTCTTCACTTTCTCTCTCTATCCTTCTTCCTCTCAGAGCAGGAGAGAAGCGGCGGTGGCATTCTTGAGCTCGTAGAGCAAGAGATCGGTGGCGGTGGAGCAGGGGACTCGTTGCGGCGACGAAGCTCAAGCACATCCCCAGCCTTCCCTTCCACGCAGACCGCCGGCGAGCCCGAGCTCAAGGTCTGCCTCTCCTGCCGCCTCCAGGAGCTCTATCTTCTCCATGAAATCGATCGAGCTCGCCGGTAGAGCTAGAGCTGCTTGGGGATGTAGAGTTCGGCGGAGGCGACAGTGATTGGGGACGCGTGTGGCTCCGGCGAGGTCCGTCTCTTCCGCGCGGGGTAGCAAGCTCCACCGCCGTTGCTGCTCTCCTCGTCGGCGACTGCGTGCAAAGGCTTTCGCCGACGACCGCCTCCGCAACCCTGGCAGTGCAGCCGCCCTCGCAGCAGCTCCACGCCGCCGCCGCAGCCGCAACCCTCGCAGCCGCGCCACGCGGCCGCAGCAGCCGCTGCCCTCGCAGCTCCACTCCGCCGACGGTCATGAGGGAGAGAAGCACAACAGGGCAAGGAGAGAGAGAATATGGGCTTGGCTCATATTATTTTGTGGGCTGACGTGGATCCGATGTGTCAAAAACCACGGTAAAAATAGGGCGGGGGTTAAGTGTCTGGTATTGTTCGAGGGTGTATTATACCCGGTTGTAGTTTAGGGGTGTATTTTGGACAAGCATAAGGGTTTGAGGGTGTATTATACCCGATTTTATAGTTCGGGGGTGTATTTTGGACAGACATAAGAGTTCGAGGGTGTAAAATGGACTTTCTCTTATAAATGGCAAGATACTCTACTACAGGCACACTTGTATTGGAATATCATCTTGACAAAATATATTTCAAAATTAGCGTTATGGAGTGCAAGTGTTCCAGTCTTAGGACAAAGTAAAGTGGTTTTTATGGTCAACAATTATGATGGAATAGTTGGTGAATTTTTCATGTATGGCTATATATATAGAGAGGTATAAGTAGACCAAATAATTTTATCGACACAATTCGAATGTCCAAATGAGAATAAAAAGTTTGTGGTTATTGAATTCGGTTGCGGTGTAGTTGAGGCCGGTGGACGTATTTGGAGATGGGCCACACATTTATTTCACTGATTTCCCCAAATTTGAGTACTCCAAACATCATGTTTAATTATTTGAAAACTAATGCAAAATTATATTACTGAATACACTAATAAACTAGTATCATATATGCAATTATATTACTGAATACACTAATAAACTATCATATATGCATTGTTAAACAAACGAAGGAATGAACCGACTTTTCCTCTAGAGCACCTCTTAGGCTTTGGAATGCATGAATTATGCAGGACTTCCAATTTTTTTAGGAAAACATATTTTTACATAAAATGGTTCGATTTTCGTATCATCTTGGAAGAAAAAGTGGGCTGAAAAACTTGCAGAGAACTGAAAAAAAATAAAGAAATACCAATTGTTTAATAATAAAGAAATAAACAAACCGGATTTCCTCTAGAAAACACATCTTACATATTTTTAATGTACAACAAATATTTTATAGTGTTTTCACATAAAGTTGCCCAATTTTCCTAGTATTCTAGAAATTTATGTGTTGTAAACTTGCAGAGAACTTGAAGAATCCAAGATATTCATTTTTATAGGCGCGTATATCCTCGAGTCAGGCACACGAAGGAGGCAACGAAAAGATCAGGCGACACCGGGCCAAAAGTTTAGGGGGGCAAAACCACCTCATCCACAAGCAGGAAGCACAACCCCTGAGCACCTCACGATGCCACACCAACGCCAAAGCTCCCGATTATCCAATGCCACAGGGAGAACAAACCCTATCCTCTTTCTCTTCTACACAAAAAATTTTCTCCTCCTCTTTCTCTTCTCTCTGTGTCACTGCGTGTGAGGAGCGTAGCTTAGAGTGAGAAAATAATGGCGTTGGAGACGTGCTTCAGAGCCTGGGCGACTCTGCACGCCCCACAGCCACCGTCCTCCGGCGGCAGTAGGGACAGACTCCTCCTCTCCGGCGCCGGCAGCAGCCAGTCCAAGCCAAGGTTGTCCGTCGCCTCGCCGTCACCGCTCCGACCTGCCTCCCGCTTCGCCTGCCAGTGCAGCAACGTCGTCGACGAAGGTAAAACACATGTTTGACCATTCGTCATATTCTGGTGCAAAACAAAACGAAAACCATCGTATGTGTGCGTGTGGGGTCGTGGCAGTGGTGGTGGCGGACGAGAAGAACTGGGACAGCATGGTGCTGGGGAGCGAGGCGCCGGTGCTGGTGGAGTTCTGGGCACCGTGGTGCGGACCGTGCAGGATGATCGCGCCGGTGATCGACGAGCTGGCCAAGGAGTACGTCGGCAAGATCAAGTGCTGCAAGGTGAACACGGACGACTCACCAAACATCGCCACCAACTACGGCATCCGGAGCATCCCCACCGTCCTCATGTTCAAGAACGGCGAGAAGAAGGAGAGCGTCATCGGCGCCGTCCCCAAGACCACCCTCGCCACCATCATCGACAAGTACGTCAGCAGCTGATTGCATCATCATCGTCGTCTTCTTCCTCTTCTTCTTCAGCTGCATCAATCAAATCAGACTTGATCGATCAGAGCTTCGTTTGTAAGTTGTAACTAAGCTACCCCCTGCTTTGCCTCTCTATGTGTATCGCCAGCCACCCCTTTCTCTTCATCGTCCTTAATTGTTGTAATCCTACTACTCCATGGAATCAATACTGTAACTATTATTGATTGATGATACCATCTTTTGACTAGCAAAGAGGAATCAAACTGTGCTACATATACATATATGATGGCCACATCTGTTTGAACTTTGATTGTATATGCTTCAAGGCATCAAGCGGTAATCAGGGCAATTCAATTCTGTTTCTAAAATGGTTGTCAGTGTGGTTTCACTGACCTGAAAGTAGCTCTTCAGACTTGTATTCTTCAGAACAGCTGAAAATATGACAGAAAATGGAAATGTCAGATACCAACGTAAAAAGGAGAGAGAGAGAGAGAGTGTGTACTACCAATGCAAATGTCAGATACAAATGTTAGATGCAAGTGTTGTCTAACAGTAACAGCTATCCATTGAATCAAGCGGCAGTTCAGGTGCCTAGGCAGAAGTGAAGTCCATACAAGTTTTTAAGATAAGTTTTGAAGCAGCTTAGGAACTCTACCATAGTAGAAGCCGATTGATGCTCCAGTCACTTCAATTCAACAGCACTAGAAGCTTGTGCTTGTGCCAAGAACAAAGCTTGTTTGACAAAATAGTGTGTACTCCATCTGAAGTTAGCACCTTCAAAATAGTGTACTCTTTGTCTAATTTGGCAATAATTCAGTGATAATATCTTAAGGTTTCAATGTTCTTTCAATTTGTGCTTGGGTTGAAAACCACATGAGGATGATATTCCTGAAATTCTATCTTGGAGTACTTATTGGAGTTCCACTCTGTGACAACTTGAGCCATTCAAGTTTCTTTCTTTTTTTTCCATGGCATGTGCTTGTGCTCAACTTAATGTGACTGAATGCAATTGACCCAAGAATAGCACATTCCAAGCAAGAACTCTGAATGAGATGAAATTGATCGAATTAAAGATAAAGATGGTTCTTACGCACTCTGCAGAAGACATATTGAGCAGACAATAGACAGTTACAGTAAATATTCAGATATCAGAAACTCAAGCCATTGATACTCTAGTTTTCTGTGAAAGCAACATGAGAACTAATCCAAGCAGACATTTTATTAGTGTGTATTTTCAAATACATTTTACATGTACAATTAGGGAGTATGGAAATCTAAATTTCAAAAACATCTTACGAGAATGCTGATATCTATGCATGCTGTACCCCAATGAGAATAATGCGATTCTGGGGGTTCCTGTGATAGAAATGGAGAATGATCAGTATATGGAGGGTCTGAAGGAGGAAGATAGGGATGAGTTGGATGATGCAGATAAAGAGAGTTTTGATAACCTGGGGGATTTTGACTTGCATGACCATGAGGGTCTAAGACAGAAGAAAAAGAAAGGGAAACAATCTGTGCAAAAGGGGTCTGGGCCGAAAAAGAGGGGGCGTCCTAGAAAGAAGTCTAAATCATGAGAGTGGTGTTCTGGAATGTTAGGGGTTTGGGGGCTGCAGGTAGACAAAGACAGTTGAGGGAGATGGTTTTTGAACAAAAAGTGGATATAATTTGCCTTCAGGAGACAATCAAGCAAAGTTTTACTGATAGGGAATTGAGGAATCTGGTGGGAGATAACTTTACTTGGAGATATGTGGCAGCTGTGGGTCACTCTGGTGGTATTATGACTGGGGTTAAAGAGTTGTTGTTTGATATTGTTGATTGGGATCAAGGGGCCTTTTCTTTAAGAATGGTGATTAAAAATAAGAAGGATGGACAGAATTGGGAGCTAATTAACGTTTATGGTCCTGCTCAACAGGCACATAGGGGGGAGTTCCTAGCTGAAATTGGCAACAAAGTACAGCAAGGAGTTTATCCTATGATTCTGGGGGGTGATTTCAATCTGTATCGATATCTAGATGAGAAATCTGGTGGTGGTGGGGTGGATGTGAGAAGAACTGAGGCTTTCAATAATTTTATTAATCATTATGAGTTGCAAGAACTGTTTAAGTTAGGGGGGAAATTCACCTGGACGAATAAGCAAATCAATCCCATCAGATGTGTTCTAGATAGAATCCTGGTGACCTCTAGTTGGGATCATTTATACCCTTTGGCCATAGTTAGTTCTCTTTTGAGGGTTGGCTCAGACCATTGCCCTTTGCTGTTAGACACTAGGGAGGGGGAGAGAGTTAGGGGAAACAATTTTAGGTTCGAGATGGGTTGGTTTGAGCTGGAGGGTTTTAAGAAAGAATTGCTTGAGAAGTGGCCTGCCAGAATACAGAGCAAAATAATGGATTACTGGCATCTCCTTATGCCTTATCTGAGGAGATGGTTAAGGGGGTGGAGTGCTAATATGGTGAGCAAACAGAAAAAGAGAAGGAAAGAGATAGAACAAAAGCTGACTGAAATTGATAACATTGCTAAGGAGAGGGATTTGTTTCCTCAAGAATGGGAGGTCAGATATGAGCTGGAAAAGGAAGTAGAGCAGATCTATCTACAAGAAGAACTGTGGTGGCAAAGGAGAGGGGGTGAACAATGGTTGTTAAGGGGGGACAGCAATACCTCTTTTTTCCATAGGATTGCTAATGGTAGGAATAGGAAAAGTCACATTTTCTCTATACAGCAAGGGGAGGAGGTTATTTCAGATTTCCAACAAATACAGACTCATATTTATGATTATTACAAACAGTTGTTTGGGAGGGAAGAACTGAGAAACATTCATTTGGAGCAGGGGGTTTGGGCTAACAGGTTAAGTTTGAATGAGAGGGATAATGAAAGCTTGATGAAACCTTTTGAATTGTCAGAAATTGATCAGGTCATGAAAAGTATGAAAACAAATACTGCCCCTGGACCTGATGGTTTTCCAGTGGGTTTCTATAAGAAACTTTGGCCTGAATTTAGGGGTTTGATCAAAGAGATGCTTGATGATCTTCAGAAAGGAATTTTAGACAGTGATAGAATAAATTATGGGGTGATTTCTCTACTGCCAAAAATTAAGGATGCTAATACAATAAAGCAATATAGACCCATTTGTCTTCAAAATGTGATTCTGAAAATTCTAACTAAAGCTTTAACCATGAGGATAACTAGTGTGATTGGGGGGATTATTAACTGGACACAGACTGCGTTCATTCCTGGAAGGTATATTTTGGATGGGTGTGTAATTCTCTATGAGGTATTGCATGAGCTCCATAAAAAGAAAGAATCAGGTGTTATCTTTAAGATAGATTTTGAAAAGGCTTATGATAGGGTGCAGTGGTGGTTTCTCTATGAGGTGATGCAGAAGAAGAATTTTAACAGCATTTTTATTGAATGGATTAAGAAGATCACTGAAGGGGGGTAGAGTCAGTATAAATATTAATGGGGAACATGGACCTTTTTTCAAGACTTTTAGGGGTCTGAGGCAGGGGGATCCTCTGTCTCCTATCTTATTTAATCTAATAGGGGATGCTTTGTCAGTTATTCTGGATGGTGCTAACAGTAATGGGGTTTTGGAGGGGTTGGTTCCTAATCTGGTTCCAGGGGGTCTTACTCATCTCCAGTATGCTGATGACACTATTCTCTTTACTAAAGCTACTAAGGAAAATGTGTTAGCCTTGAAATTCTTGTTGTTCTGTTTCGAAGAGATGTCTGGAATGAAAATCAATTATCAGAAGAGTGAGGTTTATGTGTTGGGGGTTCCAAAGGATGAGGAGGAATCGTATGATGACATGCTTAATTGTAAAGTGGGTTCTCTTCCTTTTACTTACTTGGGTTTGCCTATGGGGGTTGGTAAGGTAGGGAAAAGGGACTTGCTTCCAATCATGCAAAAAATAGAGAAAAGATTGCAATCTTGGCACAGTGGTCATCTCTCCTATGGGGGGAGGGAGATCAGGATCAATACCTGTCTGTCCAGTGTCCCAATGTATGCTATGGGTTTTTTAAAGCCTCCTGAGGAGTTTCACAAAAATTTAGACACTGTAAGGGGGAGATTCTATTGACAGGGGAATGGAAAGAAGAAGAAATATCACCTTATTAAGTGGCAAGGCTTGTGTAGACCTAAAGACTTTGGTGGCTTGGGTTTCTTGGACACTAGGACCATGAATATTTGCCTGTTGAGTAAATGGATCATGAAGTTGGAAGGCAACTCTCAGGACATGAGCTGTGTTGTTCTTAGGAATAAGTACTTAGGGAGGGGCAGTTTTTTCAAGAGTTCTGCTAGTGGGGGGTCCCAGTTTTGGAAAGGCCTTCATGAGTGCAAAGTCTGGTTAAACTATTTGGTAGTTAAGAAGATTGGTAATAGAGAAAAAACACAGTTCTGGGAGGATGTTTGGTTGGGAGATGTTCCCCTAAGAATTTTGTTTCCTTCCTTATATATGGTGAATAATCAACAACATCTTTCGGTTAGGGAGGTTATGGGTGCCCCTAATTGGGATTTGTCCTTTAGAAGAAATCTGGACCAGTCTGACAAGGCTCAATTAGACGTTTTGAAAAGTTTGCTGCAGGATGTGAGGCTAGATGATTTGCCTGATAGCTTAATTTGGCCTCATGAGAAGAATAAGAAGTTCACTACTAAATCTATGTATAGGTTGTTAAAGTTTGGGGGTGTTGTGGACAAAGAGATAACAGAGATTTGGGGGTGCAAAGTTCCTTTAAAAGTCAAGCATTTCTTGTTTTTGGCTGGGAGAGGGAGAATACCTTGTGCTGAACTCTTAGTTCAGAGAAATTGGAAGGGGGTACTAAATTTTGTAAATTATGCCTGAGAACTGAATCTACTAACCATGCTCTTTTTACTTGTCCTATTGCTTGCTTTGCTTGGTGCTCTGTAATGGAGGTAATTGGGGGGGGGGGTTAATTCCAACCAATTTTTGGGATGGTATAAGAGCTGTTAAGGATAATAAATTGGGGGTGAATTTAGGCCTTTTTCTTTGTGCTAGTCTGTGCTGGGGTTTGTGGTTGGTAAGAAATGACTTTGTTTTTGAGAATAAATTAGTGAGATCACCTTTGTAGGTAGTGTACAAGGCAATTTCCTTGATGCAGAGATGGAAGGTGCTGCTGTCAAAAGAAAGAGATCGCGAAGCTTTGAACGCGCTGCTTGAGAAGCTGAAGGCTAAGCTGGAGTCTCTACGTCCTGTGAATGTGCTACCGGACAATATTAGTGCTTAAGCCAGTGATGTTGCTCTTAGGGGTTTGAGATTTCCTAGTCGTTTGGATACTTCTTGGCGGGGTTTGTAAGCCTTTTGGGGTTTAGTTTTCTAGCGCGTGATGGGTACTGGCAGCCCCAGTTTTACTCTGTTTTTCCTTTAAGTTTTTTTTTGTATTCAGACCTTGTTTTGTTTGGCTTTCTCCCAAAAGCCGGGTAATCAAATTACCTGTTATCAAAAAAAAAAATCTATGCATGCTGTAAATCGGATTATACTGATATCTACTCGAGAAAACATCTTACTCCGATTTCTCAGAAAATTCACACAGACCACCATCTCTAGGATTAGTTCTTCAGCAAGTTCAGAATAACAGACAAAACCCAAGTACTCTGAACCTAATGGCCATTTCAGAATAACACACCAATTGGACAAAACCAAATGCCCAAATTGTATCGCATTGTTCTCTAACAAGAATAATAAAAAAAAAGAACTTCTACTCCTGCATTGTTCTCTAAAAGAAATTCAGGAGTAACAAGAATACTCTGAACTTGTTTCATGCTACAATCATACTCTGAAATTCAGGAGTATGAACATGTCATAAATGAAATGCTTACGACTTGTTTTCCTGAATAACCATCAAAAAAAGAATTCAAATTGGTAACAATGTAGCCTAATCAACTCTCTGCCTTACCATCTAACGCATCATACCGCCTAAAGCAATCACATGTTAATTCACTCTAAATCCTTGGAGTACAACGCAATCTGAGTTCTGAATCCGGGTTGAAGGAGTAGTAGGTAGTGCTAGGATTTCTAAATTCTGAATGAACTAGTGCTAGGGGTATTCCAAGATCAAGTTACTCCAAGATTTCTGAATTCCTACTACATAACTAGTGCTAGGAGTACTTCTTCTCATTCCCAAGTGAGGAAGGATTGAATTGAAGCCTGAATTTTGTAATTCCGAGTTCTGACGGAAGTACTAGTGCTAGGAGTGTGGAGAAGATGAACCTCGGGGAGATGCGGGGGTCTTTGACAGAGTCGAGAGCACGGCTCGCCGACGTAGCCTCCAAAAGCGACTCCGCAGCCGCGGCCACGGCTGCTCGTCCCACTCTCATCTCATCCATGGCCGCCAGCTCTCGCTACTGTCGCCGACCCAATGCACAGCCTCGAAAGGTGTGGACGGAAATTATGTGAGGTGGTGGAGGGGACGGCGGGGCCGACGAGCATGTGTGGCCGCCGCCATGGCCGCTTGCGCCGCCTTGCTCCACATCCGGCGGGCCGCCCCGCTGGCATCTACGGACGTCTGTGCAGGCAGCGACGGCGCGCGGCGTGGAGCGCTCTCGCGGCGGGCCGCAGGTTCGGGACGGGACGGGACGGGACGGGACAGATCGGGAAGAAATGAAGGGCAGGATAGTCATTTCGCACATTCCTTAATTTTCTTACCTTTCATCGTTGTATGTGTATTTTGAACCGGATGAAGGGTATTTTGGGAGCTACTAGCAGCTGCAGCTTCTCCTAAAATCTTAAGTTACCAGAAGCTCTCCAAACAGTTTAGCTTTTTACCTAAATTCTGAGAATCTATAGTTGTAGAATCTGAAAAATGAACTAAAAGTCAGAAGCTAGGTTTCCTAGGTTCTCCAGATTCTCACCAGCTAGCTTCTCAGTAGTTGCTTCTCAGAATTTTAAGCTCCACCAAACAGGCCCGAAGTATGTCTTAAACTTCAAATCTCTACTATTACTAGAAAAAAATGTCCGTGTGTTGCAACGGGTGAATGCTATTTTAATTTTATCGTTGTTGTATGGTTTAGCTAGGGTAAAATTCACGAGATAATCCATTCTATGCCATTGACAAAGCATGGATTCTACAATATACCACTGACAAATCTCAGTTCTATAATATACCATCGAACAACCAGTTTTCTTCCTTACATGCCATCACCACTAGTCAACAGTTAGTCAAATTCTGTTAGGAGGAAGAAAATGTCCATTTTACCCCTAGGGTATCATGCGTATGCATAGATTTCATTGGTCACGATCCACTATTTCTTCTCATTGATGAGAAAAATAGAAATCACATGTCTTTTTTAGCATCCAAGATTATTTAATGAGACATGGCATTCTGCAAAATCTCAATTTTATCCTAAGGGTAAAATTGTCATTTATTTTCCCTTAACGGCGTATGACTAACGGTTGACTAACACCGATGGCATATAAGGAAGTAAATGAGTTGTTCGAAGGTGTATTGTAGAACCGAGCTTTGTTAATGGCATATTATAGAACCCGCGCTTAATTTGTCGATGGTATAGAATGGATTGACTCAAAATGCACCGTGGGAATTCGCTTAGATTTTTTTTAAGAAAAACATGAGCTGTAATTAGGAGTCCGACTTTCATTTCAAGTTAACATGCAGAGTTTTTTAAAATAGATTTCTTATACGACTCCTTTTGTATTTTCAAAAGCAAAGAAGCTTAAAATCTAACTCAAACACATATTCTATTTCCAAAAGCGAACGATCTTAGAAACCGATTCAAACAAGATGACGTACCAAAATACCGGTAAAAAACATCTTCATTTTTTATAATAGGAGAGATAAAAATTGAAGATGTTTTTGTTAGAATTTCGATACGTCATCCGTATTTGAGTCAGTTTTTAAGTTCGTTCGCTTTTGGAAATTCAAAATCATGTTTGAGTTGGATTTTATTGTTTCCTTTTGGAAATATAAAAGGAGTCGTATAAAAATCTTTTGTAAAAAAAACCCAGCATGCTAACTTCAGATGAAATACAGACTCCTAATTGCAGCTCATGATTTTCTGAAAAAAAATATCCAATCAAATTCCCACATTGAATTTTACCCTAGCTGAATCGTATAACAATAATAAAATTAAAATAACATTTACCCGTTGCAACGCACGGGCATTTTTTCTAGTTAAAAAAAAAGAAATCAGAGGTAGTACTTCCTCCTTCCCAAATTAATCATCATATAATGAAATCTAAAATTTCTCAAATTGATCATCATATAATCGCATGAACATGAATTTCATCATAATACAATTAATACATGCATTGTGGGAGAATATGTGTATGGTGTCTTGATTGACGCGTTTTAAATTATCCTTACTCTTAGTGCATAAACATATATAAACATATATGATTATCATTTTGGGATGGATAGAGTATAACAACAATCCACAAGCATAATTCCGTGCACTGCTCGCGGAGATTGTAGGATCACACGCATGCAAGTCTCAACTGTGCAGATGATGGTGTGTGAGGATTAATTCTGCTCTGCTAACTGCAGCAAATGTTATTGTTGCTACTGCAAGAACATGTATGGGTCTGACTGTCTGAGCTTTGGTGCTCCATCTTTACTGCACCCAAGCTCCTTAATGCTTGTAGTTGTTGTGGTTCGAGCTTCACAACATTAGAAGCATGCAACATCTGCCCTGGGCCACTCTGATCAGGTTGTCCCATATGCTGCTCCATGGTATGCTGTGGTTGCTGGGGCTGCTGGGGAGTTTGCGGTAACATATGCTGTTGATTGTAGGACATTGTCAGTTGTTGATGTGAATCTTGTGATGCATCTAGCTATTAATTCTGCATGATATTAGTACTAAGATGATTGCCTATACTGCCTTGGGAGGACAAAGGAAATGCAAGGGAATCTGATCCTCCTGAGCCAACCAAATCACCAACAATACAGAGCAGGGACTACCCTGCATTGTCCCTGGACTAGGGCCAGCACCCCCATTCCCAAACGACGACCGGCTGAGCAGGGACCCAACATTGGATGTTCTAGCTAGTAAAGGCGATACAAATGATGAGAACAGAGACCTTATTCATCATTTGGTTAAGATTTCAGGTGAACTGGTTATCATAATCAGACCCCATAATATCCATAGAACAGAGTAAATGCCCTTAGCAAACATTACTACACTAGTTCAAAACGAAAGCTCTTATATTTGGATTCAAGGGAAGTAGGACACCATTAAGTTGGCTGGTTAGATGCATGCATTGTAAATTTGTATTTGTGAAATAAAAAATATTCAACCTATAATATTACTGTAAACACTGCTGCACAACCTTGGGATAAGTACAAAAGCAGCAGCCAATCACCATCATTTTTCTTCCAAGCAGGGGTAGGATGTCCCTCAGCAAGCTTGGCTAAGATCAGCATGGACAGCCTTTTGAGCTAGCTTAGGATTATTTGCTAGAAAATGCAAGGGACTATCCTAGCTTCTTTTTTTTCCTTGTAGGGACCACCCTTGGTATTGCAAATAGCTTTGTTATTGAGCACCAACCATGTCTTTATACTTACACCAAAGTGGTATTGTTGATCTCTTGATACTTAGTCACCAATGGCCTATGTGTCATCAGGCATAATAAATATTTTTTTGGATTACATAAAAGACACACATACTGGTACATCACCACAACAGACATGGTTTTCTAGGCGAAATTAATATAAACATATAATCCCATATGGTCTCATGCGTGGATCAAAGACAGATTGAGAATCAGCTCAATAAAAAAAGAAGAGGAAGCTCAAGGAGAGATGGGCATAGTCTTCAAAAAAACAAAAAAACAAAGGAGAAATGAACATAAATGCCTGTGACTATGAGACGTACGTACAGTTGGCCATTTGGCTGTATGATTAGACTGAATACCTGCCATGATGCAAGCACAGCTACGGAAAAAGATTGAAATTTAATTAGTTTGCTAATAATTCAGTGACAAATACTCCTAGGTAGGAATATCCATCAGCACCATCATCAGAATTTCCACTCCAAGTATATTTCATCGGAGCAAATTCTGATTTCTGATCTCAGCTTCCAAAAGCAAGGGGCCTGGTGACCACAAAGGCATCAAAGGAAGCCACCAAGAGACCTAAGTCAGGAATGGTTGAGTACCTTGGTTTCTTTCCTTGGGACTATGACATTCTATCAGACACATATACTCACAGACTTCACAGAATCTCACCTACTGGAACTGAACAAGCTGTTGTGTCCATTTGTACCAGGCTAACCTTAAAACAAATCTTTGTTTAGTGTTTATGAAATGTGTGTTGTCCATTGTCGTCCTGTTCCATTTATATGGGTAATTGGGTAAAGAAGATGACATGTATGAAAAAAAGAAGCCATAAAAAGGGCAGGCTGTGGAATTTACCTGATTCATCCTATTTTTAATAAATATCTCCAACAGAATGTCACAATCTGATCCCAGTTTGGTTTGTAAACTACCTTTTACTCTTTTTTTTTTGACAAACTTGTTTTTCATTTAGATAGTGAGATAGAGCAACATTTCAGTGGAATTAATTTCTTCCTGGCGCTAACAAAGCAAGCTCATTACAGAAATCATTTGCCCATGATAACCAAGAGACCAAACACCGGGAGCTCCAGTTTCACCTGCATACGTACTACTACAATACTCCAAGTTGTCCTTTCTTCTGCAAATTGCAACCCATGCATCACTGGACCACGCAGCTTTGGATCTCTACTGGATTATAAAGGAATTCCGATTATAAATGAACCTGTACTACTACTAACAGCTCACATTCAATGGAGCATAATCATGGATCAACTTATCAACCACCAAAAGCAAATGCATTCAGCTCAGGCCAATGGAACAACAGCTAAAGAATTGTTCTTTCCTTTTGTTACATCTCAGCAGTGCTAAAGAATTGCAGATACAGGCTTCGTCAGGGAATCTGACAAACAAGCTATATATATATGACAATATCAAACATACATGGTACATGTAAGCTTACACACAATTGACTCAGGTGAGGAATTTGCAAGAAGATGAACAGTCTCAGCTGCTGCTACCTAGGGATCTTACGAATGATCGTCTCCACCAGACCTGGAAAGCCCTCATCAGATTTGGGCATTCCCTGCCTTGCCCACTGAATGTCTCAAACCACTCCATGAACAGCACCTGCTGATGCTTCAAGGTGAGTGTCAGCAAAGCTTGCCCAATTCCATCCTCCAGGGTTGCCATGTTGAGGCCCTTTGGGCACCTCCTGAGCCACCCAAAATCCACCAGCAATGGCCTGAACCATGCTTCGAAGATGCCAAGCCGCGACGTGCTGGTGCAGTGGAGCTTCCCACTCCCCATGGCAATGAAAATTGTGGCTGAAATCCGGCTGAGCTCGTAACGTACCATAGGCGAAAAACGTTCATGCATGGTACTGAGTGTGTTCTGGCTGGCCCATAGGTCCACAAATTCCTCACCCATCTGCCTGTCTATCAGAATCTGCAGCAACCAGGTGAGGTTCTCAACTTGCTTGCATATTCTCTCGTGTGGCCCTTTTCCAACTGAAATGGTTGTTTGGCCAGAAGGGCCCAGGTCAGAGGCTTCCCCAAATAATTCCACCAGACAGTTCAGGCAAGTATGGCAGATTGAGTAAATGTTCATCATGTCCAGCTCTTTATCACTCTTTATGTAGATAGAGGTCCTGGATAATATACCGTCGACAAGAGTCCGCAAATCTTTACGGGCATTATTGTTGGTCCCCTTTGTGATGGAATCCATGAGTTCAACAACCAGTTCAGCTGATGAACTGGGTTCTTGAGGCTGTAACCTTGCAAGCAAATCTTGAGAAACCGTTTTATTGCAAGGATACTGGGACAGCAAACTCTTGATCCTCTCCTCCTCGGGCTCACTCCATGGGACAGCCTCGAGATATTTTAGACAGTTGGTGACTCCTCTGTCAAACATAAGGGAGAAGGATACCTGAGAAATTCGATTAGGCATTAAGTGAAAAATGTTAAGAACCGGCTTAAATCCAATTTACATTTTGAGATATATATTACAGTACATATAAAGGGAGTTAAAATAATGAAATGAACTTGTCTCTGCAGATTTTTGCAGTGTAGACTGTAGACTTTATTCTAATTTCTGTAATGCACAGGAGCTCAATCTTTACAGTGCAAAAGCCTTCTTAATAAATTAACAATCCTATGAAGTATCGCACGTAATGTAGATCCCCAGCATGAAGTAGACAAGATCCTTTAATTTTCACATAAGCATGGAATCTTCCACTTTTTAACAGTAGCAGTAGCTTCTAATAGAGCAATAATACCATGATTGCAAAACAGTATTTGCTATGATCATGTCTTTACGTGCAACCACCAAGCTTAAAAAGGTAGTGGGGCTATTCTCAAAATACTGTAACAGATGTTACATTCATCATAACGAGTCCAAATCCAAACAAGTGAACCAACTCATTGCACTGTGATTGAATAAAATAAATGCCGATTTCTCATAAATAATTCAAGACAAGGTGATATACAGCTGATTGTATGATCAAACGGCTGCCTTGGCGTGCAGCTATTGCAATCATTGCAAAACAGCAACTTATTGCATTGCCTGGTTCTATGTTCTTTAGAGCATAGCAAGCAACTAAATTTCGTCTAAGAAATTTAGATCAACACTAATATAAGAGTCAAGTATTTCCTATTGTGATCAGCAAAAGCAAAAATCCTAATCTGATGATTTTTAATGAATTCATATAACATAGGCATGTTCAACTAGAAATTAGAACGATTAATACTAGTACTATCTTAAGGTTGGTAATTATTTATAAAAGTAACACAACAAGAAGTGTGCCAGTAAGTGCCGAACATGCAAGAGTATTATGGATTTCATTAACAAAAAATATGAACCTAACACATGTAAGGGAATATATCAAACAAAAGCAGAAATAAAATGAAGAGACAACTGAAACAGAGGAAACAGATTTATGCAGAAGATATTTAGATATAAACTGCAAAAAAAAAGAACAGGAAATGAAGGGCATAAAAATGAAAGCTTCAATTTATATAAAATTGAAGATGCTGACAGAAAAAAGTTTACTCAACTCCAAAAACTAGAACAAAATATGAAGTCCAACGATTTTCTGATTTATTCTTTACAGTGTACAATGTACCAATTTTTTGTCCTGTTTTATTTTCATGTTCTGTTCCCTTCTCATATTTTTGTTACCATCTGCTACATGGCTTGTGATGCTGGGATATTTAACCAATTAACCCAAACGAATCAAGAAAACCAGTAGAGATTTGGAAAACTCATCGAACTATGTAAGAAGAAAAATAAAAGCCAATAAGGAAAACTGAGAAACAAATCTTGGTGGGTGGTAAAATTTACTGAACCACATATATAGCTCGACAACCAAATTAATTAGCATCAGATATTGAGTGGAACAGAAGTAAACCACTACGGAATTCTGATGAACATCCAAGAAACAGGAAATCCTCCCAATTTGACCACCAACAACCAAACCTCAACTCCTCAACTACCTGTCTACCTCAGGAACAGTGTTAACTATTATTGACCAAAGTAAGTAAAATAAATGCAAATCTTTCCTGATCAATTCTTGACCAGAACACATGTACAATCGACAAAATGATGCAGAATTTGCGAACAAATCAACTACAAAAAAGAAATCACCATTCATCCTCATTCTCAAATTGCAATTTCATGATTTGGAGAAGCAGAGCAGTATGAGAGAGGTTAATTACCTCGAGCACGGCAATGGCGCGGGCGACGCCGGCGCGGGAGAGGCGCCTCATCGCGGCGGCCTCGTCGGCGTCCTCCAGCATCATCTCCACCGCCTCCCTGATCGCCTCCACCTCCACCTTCCCTTCCACCGCCACCTCTCCTCCGCCGCCTCCAAGAATCCTCCCGACCACCCTGCACTCCCTCCGCACCCTCTCCACCTCCGCCACCTCCAGGATCACGCCCTTGGACACCAGCCTGATCCGCAGCGCCTCCACCGCCGGAGGCGGAGGTCGTGGACGCGGCAGCGGAGGCGGAGGCGGCGGCGGGCACTCGGAGACGGACGACAGACGCGCGGAGGAACACGCCGACGCCGACGCGGCGGCGCCGCCATAGGCAGTCGCGTCGTCGACGGGGGAGACGCGGCCGGGCGAGCGCATGCGGCGTGACAGCGGCGGCGCCGTGGTGGCGGCGTGCTTGCTTCGCCGCCGGTGATGAGGAGGAGGAGCAGCCGTCGTCGTCCCGGCGGGGCTGCGGTGGACGGCGGAGAGCGGGTCGAGGGCGAAGGAGCAGCACCAGGGCTGGCGCGGCGGGGGGCCCTGAGGGTGGCGGCGTCGGCTACGGCGGTGGCGGTGCGCCGCCGCCGTCGCCACCGGCGACGAGCCGGGCGTCGGCATTTGCGAGTTGGCGTGTGGGAGGAGAGTGCGAAAGGGAGGGAGGGAAGGGAATGAAGAACATGTGTCATGTAGTTGTTGTTTGCATGGGTGGTTTGTGTGGGGATTTTTTTTTTTTGCTATGTTGCACCGCCAAATGCACACCGAATTTTGTACTCCAAAGTTATGGATTTTGAATTGTGTTTATAGGGTTTTTTTCCTAGAGAAGGGTATTTTTTTACCCATCCTCTACATCCAACCAGATATATGCAACCTTTTTAAATTAGAAATTTAGCCTACCAATAGGGAACTTAGCCATCAAATAACCCAAACTGAATTTCATTCCTATGAAGATTTGAAGTTAAGACCTCGGGGTGCTTCTAACCACTAGGCTACATGCCATTTCACAATTGTGTTTATAGTTAGGAATCATTTTCTTTTGTTTTTACCTATGTAGGTGCAATTTAGCTACGTGAAGTGTCAAAATATGTGTTAAAAAGGATAGCTACTCCATCTATCGCAAAATAAGTTTATTTTTCATTTATCCTACACGTATCAATATAGAAAATAAAAAGACAAGAAAACCCTCACTTTATCAAATCCCACAAAAAATATTCTTCTCTTTATATACTCTCAATTCATTTATCCTCTATTTTAAAAAACTTTGATACAATAATTACTTAAAAATAAATTTATTTTAGGGCAAATGGGAGGGGCTAAAAATAAACTTATTCTAGGACAGAGGAAGTAGCTCAGTTTTCCCATCAGGTTGTAAATATTTGATGCCGAGGATAAAATTTAGTCAAACTTTGACCATTGATTTTATGTAATGATAAGTTTGTAAAATCTGATAAATCTGTGATAGTATGACAATGGGCCTGTTCACTTTGTTGCAAAAAAAACCTTACCAAATTTTGGCATTGCCAAAATTTTAGCAGCTATGCCAAAATTTTGGTAACTTGCTAAAATTTTGGCAGGATTTCTTATATAGTTACTAAAATTTGGCAGCAAACTAAATGTAGCCACTTTTTTTTTGTAACTTTACCAAAATTTGGTAAGGTTGAAAATGACACCAAAGTGAACAGGCCCAATATTTTTCAAGACATATATGCAAACCATTCTCTCTTTTTTTATATAAAAAATATGAAAATGGATAAGTTATTGATTATTAAAGTTGCAAATTTTGACCAAATCTCATTCTAAATGACAAGTATTTATGCGTTGTTTGTACTTGTTGATCTCGAACAAAGTAACTTTCTTATGTGTAACAGTGTAAGTTAGTTAAATTAATTAGGCAAATTTATATGCTGTTAATGTCTGTCTTCCTTGTTAGATGGATACTATCAAGTGTTGTATATGAAGTGATATTTTTAAGGATTGGCATAGTTACCATCAAAGTAAGTGAATATACTAATTAAGTCTTAAGAGTACAAGATCTATGTTGACTGAATCTCATGTTTTGTACATTCTCCATCGGTAAATTCTAAGAAGAGGTATACCATGATGTAAATATGACATTATTTTAGTAGATAATTGCCATGAAAAATTCTCAATTACTCATCTAAAAAGTGCCCTTTTTAAAAAGCTAACTTGGATGCATAAGTTTCATTTTCAGTGGCATATGCTTCAAGATATATATATATACACACACACATAGCCCTTTCATTTTTGCCTATACTGTCACTCTTAAGGCCGGCTTAATTAGCAACCTAGATATCACCGGATATAGTACAGTCCGCTGTAAATTGCCTATCACATAACTAGTAGTAGTATTGTCATTAATCAATTTTAACTCTAGATATGACCCAAGAGGCATAGATAAATGCATCATGTGCCCACCATTTTATTATAGCATCTTTTATGAAAACCAATATTTTGATGTAACCAACTCAAATGCTTGTTCTATAAGAATATCAATAGTGCAACTTCTCTAAACAAGGATCAACAGTGCAACATATTGCATGTGATTGTTGTATGGTCTACATGCACATGGATATACAACTATATCTCTACTATTATAAAAATTAAAGATATTTTTACCGGTATTTTAGTATGTCATCCGTGTTTGAGTCGGTTTTTAAGTTCATTTGCTTTTGGAATTATAGATTTGTATTTGAGTAGACTTTTTAAGTCCGTTTGCTTTCGAAAACATAGGAGTCGTATAAGAAATCTTAAAAAAAACTCGCATGCTAATCCTACTTGTAGCTCATGATCTTGTAAAAACAATATCCAAGCAAATTCCTACAATGAATTTCACTTTAGCTAAACTGTATAACAATAATAACATTAAGATAGCCTTCACCAATTTCAACACATGTGTATTTTTTTTCTAGTATACTGCAAAATATGAATGAAACAAAGATAAGATACGGATAGCGGACCTTACGAGAAATTCAAACGAATTTTAGGCTAAGTTCGTTTGCTGGAGTTGGAAACTATCTCTCATGCACGCAAAATAGAGCGACCCGTTAGCCTATGAATTATTAAGTATTAGTTATTTTTTAAAAAAATAGATTAATATGATTTTTTAAAAAAAACAATTTTTCTATAGAATTTTTTTAAAAGAACAATATTTAGTAATTTAAAAAGTGTGCGCGCGAAGTTGGTAACCTTAAGCAACGAACTCAGCTTTAGTGAAATGGCAATAACCTAGTTGTTGTAGTGACCTGAGTAGCACTCTAAGGTCTTAAGTTCAAATCTAATTTCAGATTGGGTTATTTGAGAGCTAAGTTCCTTGTTTAATAGGCTAAGTTCCTAATATAAAATGGCTGCATATATCCGGTTGGATGTAAAGGCCGGGTAAAAAAAACCCTTCTCTAAACAAAATTAGAACTCATATAATGATGATACACAAATACTAACCAATAGTGGAGAAGATGGTGGGGGTGAGCAGAGCAAATTTGTGTTGGGTGGCACCCTACGCTAATAAATAAAGCTACAGGAAAAGCGGGAAGCAAAGGATGCCGTTGCAGCTTTTGGGGGCAACGGCATAATTTCCTCTCCTCTCGTCTCTCCATCCATACTTTTCCTTCGTTTTAAGCGGCAAAAGCTCTTCCTTTCTTGCCTACTAATCCATCTGCTAATTGGACCTCCTTCACTCTAATCATATGCCTCGTCAATGCACTTACGCTGGTATCACGGAAGTTCATCCTAATTAAACTCCATACCACTAAAATATAAAAATAGATCAACTATATAGTGTGTTAAAGATTGCCGCCGCCGTCTTTACTACTCAACTATCCAATAAAAATAACCTTAATTTCTTTGAGAACATTTAGTAATGAAAGAAAACAAATAAAGTAACTTTCGCTAATAAGAAAGTAGTATTGTCAATGTCAGGTGAAAAAATGTAAGATTATTGAGATACAACACCTCGGTTTGTAGAAATAAGAGGGTAAAAAACATTAAGATAAACTTTAACAGCTAGAAATTAAGGGCTTTTTTTGCATAGATAGATATTTACGTGTTTTTTTTTGCGGGGAGATATTTACGTGTTATAGCTGCATGTTGTTGTCCAGAGTTCAATTGATTTCTTCATGTGAAAGTTAGTTACCTCACATGACATCTAAAACTAGTAACCTAGGTGATTAACTAAACATATCCATCTTAAACAAACAGGGCTAAAATACCACAAGTGCCAAGCCTTGATGCAATCCAAAGCTCCAGTCAATAGGACCCCGTGACACATAGCCACCGCAATCGCCGGCGAGTAGTGGCCTTATCCGGCGTGGTTAATACTATAATTATCACCAAAATTTGGTTAATAATTACCACCTAAACTAATCACACATGATGATGATTATTAATCAGCTAGTAGTAGTAATATAGTACTAGTAGCTAGCTAACCATCACATCATAATCATGCTGCTCCCCTATGCTTTTTGTGTACCAAACGTTTCATTCCAAAATAATAATGACACGCGCATGCATGCAATGCAATACTCCAGCTAATAACCCAACCTCCATCCTCTGATTTGGTTAACAAACCCTTGTGGCCATCAGGGGTAATGAGGATTAATTAAGCCTAATCACACGTTCAGCCGACCAAACAGTGGTTAGCCAACCTGCAATTAAGCATTTTTAATTTGGTTGGTCATGGGGGAACTGTTGTTAATTATGGAGGATTAATTAGAGGGAGAGAGATTGGCTGGCTAGCTGGTTTTGGCAGTGGCAATCACTCTGATGTTTGTTGTGTGACCAACTCTTGCTGCTTTGTTTAGTATTATCCAGTAGATAGGTTATTCCTAATGACTCAAAGTGGATGTATGTAATACTAGGTATAATCTTATCTTTTGGTTGTTGAGAACATTAATTATATATTTTTGATGGTATGTGGAGAGGGTGAGTGATTGAATGAAGCACACTGCTCCACTAGTACTGACCATGTTATTACTATACACGATGCAGTTCAACTACGAAGCTCTTTTGGTACGAAGAAATTTTAAAGAAATTCCAACAGAATTAAAAGTTTACTAGGTTGTTTGTTTTATCACCTATAGGGGGGTTAAAAAATGGCGGTGGAAATTTCTGACAGTACCAAGACCGTTTTCGTAAAACTAAAAGTGACGCCGTTTTTCCGATTCTAGCTATATATAAAATTTAATTAATTAATTAATTCCATCAGCATTGTATTGAAGTTGTCACTAAATTGTTAAGAGTAAATTTGACAGAACTAAAGATTTCAGGTAATATATCATAAAACTACATGTTTAAGGCTAATTATCACAAAACTATAGATTTTGGGTTTAAATCCTTAGCACTAATATTATGTTTGAATTATAAACATCCAAATTTTGTGATTAAATTGATACTAAACTTGTTGTTTTTTTTGGTAACTTTGTTATTAAATCTGTAGTTTTATGATACTCCACCTTAAATCTGTAGTCCGGAATGAATTTCATGTTAAACCTATAATTTTGTGATACATGCATCATCTTAAATATATAGTTTTTTGATAATTTAATCAAAGTATCTATAGTTTTGTGAAATTTAATCAAATAGTTAATTTGGCCAATATGAAATTTTTTTGACCGTACCAAAACCATTCCTCTAGCTAGAAATGATAACGTTTTGAACGTTTTCATCCTTAGTTCACCTATGTATATTGC